TTTTTTTTTTTTTTTTTTTTTTTTTTTTTTGGTTTTGGCTGCTTGGGGCGGCCAAAACCCTGGAGCCGGCCCTGTTATGGAGACAAGTCCTTAGTTAAGAGCCAGCATGAAGTCAAATCTCTTCAGAAAGAGAAATCTCTTCATGCTTTAATCTAAGCCAGGCGTGCAGCACAAATAAGGAAACAAAGCAATAAGGGAATGGAGAGTAGTTTCTTCTACACAGCAGCAGCCCTGTCCATAGGAGACTGCTCTCTCTGTATCTGCTACAAAAATCATAGAATATCAGTGTTGGAAGGTCATCTAGTCTAACCCCCTGCTCAAAGCAGGACTAATCCCCAGACAGATTTTTACCCCAGTTCTCTAAACAGCCCCCTCAAGGATTGAGCACACAACCCTGGGTTTAGCAGGCCAATGCTCAAACCACTGAGCTATCCTTCCCACTTCAATGAGCTAGCTGCCTTTCCTGGAGGTCCAGAGAGCACTCCTCCAAGTACCAGCTACTAACCTCTAGGAGGGTGTTGCCTTATTTTGTTTGAGAAGCAGGGGAACTGAGACCATTTTGGGTCCTGAAAGGAAAGTACACTGTGCATATGACATGCATGTGTGCACCTGTGCTTGTACACATTTTGTCTCCAGATGTGTTGTTGTTGGGGGGGCACATCTGGGATTTCTGGTTCTAAAAGTGTGAGCCTTCGCTACTTGAGCTAAGAGACCCAGCTCAAGTCAAGGTTGGAATAGGTTCATCAACCTTGGTCCCAGTCAATGCTAGAGAGGGACAGAGCGACATGCTGAGTGGCTGGGATACACGTGTGTACTGGTGGGTACGTGTGGGTTGATATGTGCATGTGCACACATCTTATGAGCTTGTGTAAAATAAATAAATAAAGATATCCCATCTCCTAGAACTGGAAGGGACCTTGAAAGGTCATTGAGTCCAGCCCCCTACCTTCACTAGCAGGACCAAGTACTGATTTTGCCCTAGATCTTTAAGTGGCCCCCTTAAGGATTGAACTCACAACCCTGGGTTTAGCAGGCCAATGCTCAAACCACTGAGCTATTCCCCCGTATATGTGGGCCCTGTTAGGGCACCTTCCCCTAAGAACATTTTTATGCCACTTGGTGCCACCTCTGATGCATTCCAAAGGCAAAGATGCAATTTTGAGAGATACCCGCACAAGCCACAAGGATGAGGCTTGTTTGGCAGGGCTGGCGCAGAGCAGGGATGAGCTACCGGTACAGCAGAGGCAGGCAACCACCCCAACCCACCCATCATGAGATACCTCTGGCAGCCATCATTGGTCTGGGGAGTGGGGTATGAGAGCTGACTATAGTGTGTGTGGAAGGACAAGGGAGAGTCAGTAGAGCAGGCTTCTACAGTGGGCTGGAGAATGTGTTTACGTAGGGGGGGGGGTGTAATATTGACTGACCAAAGTGGGCAACTTCTCTACCTTTGCTCCTGCCCAAACTCTCTTGGCCCTCCCTGGCAGGGACATGGGTTAAGGAGCATGATGGGGTGGGCTTATTTCCCCACTGGGGAGGAAAGGTTAGATCACTTCCTAGGGACAAGAAGTCCCTTGGAGCTCTCACATAGACTTGTGTGAGTGGGGATGGGGTGGGGGTTCTTGGCTCTCAGGGGCTGTTTCCTGTTGATGTCAGTTTAGCCAGAGCTCCCCTCCCTGAAAGCCCCCTCCATACCTATTTATCAACACATTGCAGAGCCAATTTACCAAACGTATTTCCTTTAATTTGCCATATGTGTTTTTCCATTGGATGCGTTTAGCAAATGTTAAATGTGCAATAAAAGCAGGGGACGTGAATTGTGTTTACCTGCTCTGGTGGAGTGGAAATGATATGGAGATCTTCCTCTGCCCCCTCGCAGATGGCTCCAGAACTCATTCAAGCAGGGCACAGAAATCCCACCCTGGCTTTACCAGGATTAAGAAAGTCTGTGCTAGTGTCAAGACTATAAGATGATGGCCTCTGTAAATTCATCAGCAGGAAAAGAACTGAACTGGATTTCTGTGCTGCCTGGAGTGGGCTCCGGGTGCCCCCGGGGAGAAGAACCAGAGTTGGATTTCTGTGCCCATGGGGTGGGCTCCGGGTACCCCCAGGGAGAAGAACCGGAGTAGGGTTTCTGTGCCCCCTGGAGAGGACTCTGGGTGCCCCTGGGGAGAAGAACTGGAGTTGGATTTCTGTGCCCCTGGGGCAAGCTCTGGGTGCCTCTAGGG